TTGTTGTTGTTGTTGTTTTGAAACACTTTTTCTACTCTGGTTATAAACCCCCAAAATAGTATAAGCCCTCTTTGTTTAGAACCTCTTATGAAGTTGTATATAAAGCCCAGGGCTTGCAAGAGGAAGTTTACAGTATCTGCATAAGAAACAAAATCAAAAGCAGGATCCAGGATGGGATGTGGAACAGAACTGGCACAGAAATTGGAACCAGATCAGAAGTGATTCTTTATATTTCTGATTCCTGCTTTTCCATTTTGTCAATGTTTGTTCAACTTATTTTTGATGTTATATGTATGTTCAGGTTATGAACTTCCTTGGGAAGATGCCAAATTTGTTTATCCCAACAACATGGCACCACCTTTAGAAATTGCGATTGAGGCAAGCAATGGAGCATCAGACTACGGAAATAAGTTTGGAGAGCCAGTTCTTGCTGGGTTTGCAAGATCATTTGGTATGATGTTACCAAATGGAGAGAGACGTGAGTGGGTGAAGCCAATAATGTTTAGTGGTGGAATAGGAATGATTGATGGTGAGGGAGTGACAAAACTACAGCCTGAAAAAGGTAAGAAAATATTTCAAAAAAAAAGGAAGAAAGAAAGAAAGAAAAGAAATGAAATAGCACCTTGTGCAAAGAGGTTCCATTTTGTCCACTAGAAAATCCTGCAGCATGTTCTGTCCACAGGCAAAACTGTTTGATGAGACTCCAATCTTCACTTCCTTCAAGTCCCAATAGTGACCAAGATCAATTTTCTCCTAACAATATCCATACAATGTCAAGAGATAAGTTATGAGAATAAAATGATCACCCAAGACAAAATGCCTTGATCTATTATCAAATTCTCTCAACTAATTCTTTAAGGAAATATGGAGATCAGTTTGGAGAATTTGTACATGGATACTGGGGCTTAAAGGGTTATCCAGGAGTGACAGGTTTTATCTGAAGATGCTTGTCTTAATCAGTTTATTGTATGTGGTTAATGGTGTGCAATTAGCTCAGTTAGAAGGATGCTGGTCTGCTGAGCAGGAGGTTGTGAGTCCAAATCCTGGCAGAACTACATTTGTAAAAACAACTTAGGTCTTTGAAAAACTTAAAACTGTGAGATCATTCTACCTGTATGTGAGGTCACTACCAAATCACTAGGTCATCTGAATTGAGAAAGGGTTTCACTTGGCCTTGTCTCCCCTTTCACATCAGTTGGAAGGGGACCTTAAAGAACCTATGACAAGTCATTGTTTGAAAAGAGTAGGGAATGAAGGCCTTGCAGTGATGACGTAGTCTATCTGACTTGTCCAATCATTGGTTGGATTGGGTGAGATGAGATTAAACTTGAACATAGGTGGGTGAAAAATGCTGCCTTTGCATGCTGATGCCTGATCTTACCTCTTTGGTCCCTCTGGAAAGGAATTCAGCCACTGGTTGTAAAAGAGGGAATTTAGCACTGTTTATTTACCGTAGTTTTATTTACGGTAACTTTTTTAATAAAAAGGAATGGAGGTTGTCAAAGTTGGTGGCCCTGTGTATCGGATTGGTGTTGGAGGTGGAGCTGCCTCTTCAATACAGGTTCAAGGGGATAATGAATCAGAGCTGGACTTTGGTGCTGTTCAACGAGGTGATGCTGAAATGGAGCAGAAACTGAACCGAGCCATTCGAGCCTGCATTGAAATGGATTCTGGTAATCCTATCTGCAGTATTCATGACCAAGGAGCTGGAGGGAATGGTGAGGGCTTCAACTTTGAAATTATTACTATAACATGTATCATAAAGTAGTAAAAAATACTTAATCATCCCCCCTTTTAATAATCAATTTATGGCTTTTCAGTGATAATGAAACAAATAATAAATTATTTGTTTCATAACAAGGTTAAGATTCCCAACTGGCATGATGCGAGCCAGCATTGTTTTATTAAAAAAAAAAAAATATCAAGTAAAGAATTGAAATGATTGCTAAAAAGTCACTGTCTTTTTCCCAAAATAACTGTACAGAGAAACTGCAAAGTTAATAAGGAATAAAACTTGTCATAGAAATTATGTTTATTATGTTCCTCATGCAGGGAATGTACTGAAAGAGATCTCTGAACCTGCTGGAGCAGTTATTAGACTTAAAGACTTCATGCTTGGTGATCCAACCATTTCCGTCTTGGAGCTGTGGGGTGCTGAGTATCAGGAGAGTAATGCATTACTGGTGCATGCTGAAAACAGGCAAACTTTGCAAGACATTTGTGATAGAGAGAAGGTGCCAGTATCATTTGTAGGGGAAATAACAGGTAAGCAGTGGTAATCCAAAAACAATGCAGAGGATTACTTTATTACTTGTCCATGAGGCCTCACACCTTACCGCTGCCCAAAAATAAAACGTTGTATTGAGAAAGACACGGAGTTGAATGAACCTTCATATGCCACCACCTCTCATAATAGCAACCATCTTCCACAAATGACCACCTTTTGAAAACACCCAAATTTTCCTAGAAGTCTTGTATCAGAACCTCTCTTAAATGATCACCTCTCGTAAGCAACCAAGACTACTTTTTTGGATGATGTTTTTAAAATTTTTCATTGTTTAACTCCCTGGTAAGCGACCATTTGATGCATGGATTGATGTCTATCTTTGCTGTATGTACTACACTTTTCACAGTATACAAAAAACTTTTACTGACAACATGAAACTGCACAATAATATGAATATGAAATTGCATGCTATGGATTCTTGTCCAAAATGTAGATGTGTTCGGATCTTTTCTAGGAAAGGACCCCTTGGTTTGATTCTCATAAACAACTACCTGTAATTGACCACTAAATGTTTGCGATATTGGTGGTCACTTGTGAGATATTCAACTGTACTTCAGTTTCAAAGCTTTTCCATTGATCCTACCAATTTCCAATTTTGAGCTTGCACTTGGGAGTGGATCCATGTTTTGGTGACTTGCTTCTAGGGACCATTTTGGGAGACAAATTTTGACCCAGTTACCTGCCCAACCTTGTAAAAGCCAATGAAAGAATTAGCGACGGCATTTCCAGATCGGCTCCTATAGTGGTGTTTGACACAACACTGAACTAGACTTTCATGCAGCGTCAAAATGGCCAACTTGGACTACAGCGGGGGATGGCGACTTAGCCTGCTAATATGAATAGCTCTTAACATTACCTGCAGTGGCAAGAGATTTTTTGTACAGTTAGCAAAGAGAGGTGGCCATATGCACAGGTGAAGGAGCCACTTGCGCACTAGATAATGAAAAGTGGTGGCCAAATCTAAAAAAATTGGTTGTCATGTTATTATTTTACATGTTAACAGGAAGAACATCCAGAACATCCATTTTTGTCCTTCATAATAACTCTACCTCAAGTTGGTACTGGGGGGTACCATATACAGTGTAACTTTTTGAACTACAAGATGTCTTCTGGAGCAACAGGCTAGTTTCTTTCTGGGATTTAAGACATATATATGTTTTTTAAATTAGCAGGCTTTTTGAATGCCTAATCACTTCCTCAGGTGTAACTTTACACATTTGCAATAATACTTGTATTATACAAGGCCTTGAGCAAGGTGTGATGAAGAATTCATGGGACTACATAGTGAACAATGCTTAAAATTTAGGCACATTTCAACCTGTATGCCCTTTATGAAGTAGTTAATAAAACTACTGTCATAAAAACCTTATGTTTCACTCAATTTCATCTGGCAGGTGATGGAAGAATTGTGTTGGAAGATGAAACTTCCCATTTTGAAAATGGAATATCAACAGAGGAAAATGGTGTGCCAAGCAAACGCCAGAGAACGACAACTTATCCGGTTGATCTGGAACTTGAAGTTGTGCTTGGGAAAATGCCACAGAAGGTTCAGTAATATTATTTTGTTCTTTTCATAATTGTGAAGCAGTTTCTTTTGGCACTTCATTGAAAAATAACACTATTTTTCTTTAATTTTTTTTCAGGTTTTTAATTTAGAGCGTGTGAAGTCACAGTTAGTGCCACTGCATATACAACCTAGTTTTACAGTGAAGGAAATGTTAGACAGAGTGTTACGTCTGCCAGCAGTTGCCAGCAAGAGATATCTCACAAACAAGGTAGTAAATAAGCTAGAGGGTATGAAAACGAGCTCTGGTGACAATGTTCTTTCTTCCATTCTCTTCCATTTTGCGTACTTTTGTAGAAAATATTTCATGTCAAAAGTGATCACAAAGGTAACTGTTATACAACACATTTAACAGTATCCTTCCAGCAAATCAGTGTTATTGGTGAATAGCGAGAACATAAATGAATAAGGATAGGTAAATAATATTGATAAATACAAGGGTAAAATAATACACTCTCAGTATGGTAACCCAAGATGATCTAAAGCAGTGGTATATACATGTAGAAGTAATGTGTAACAGGCTCTAAGTTGTTTTTTTTTAATGTGTACTTAAGGTTGACCGCAGTGTCACTGGTCTGGTTGCCCGGCAACAGTGTGTAGGTCCATTGCATACACCAGTGGCTGATGTGGCGGTGACAGCACTGACACACTTTGACACGGTGGGCTCAGCCACTGCCATTGGAGAACAGCCAATCAAAGGCCTAGTAGACCCAGCATGTGGAGCAAGAGTGGCTGTTGGAGAAGCTCTAACAAATTTGGTGTTTGCAAGAATAACTGATCTAAAGGTATCAAATTCAAGCTTGTTTCCTCTAGCCTCCCATGCGGGCAATTTTTAGGGGAGTCGTACTTCCTCCTCAGTCTCTCCTAAAATGCCTGTGTTTCCTGATGCAATGCTTTTCTTTTGTTTCAAGGAGATCCAGTGTCCAAAGAATTTATTGATACACAAATTTTTTTAAAGTGTTTTTTATTCTTTTTTTATTTCCTCATCTTGTAATGATACAATGATAAATAAATTACAAACAATATCAGAAAAATAATGGCAAGAAAGCTCAAAGAAACCATAAGGCTTATGCAATGTGGGCTTTCTCTACTAAATTGCTAAAAACACTGAATATTAATTGAATGGCGACAACACACTGTCTTGATGTGATAGTTTGATGAAGTAGTAAGCTTTTAAATCAACTGAATGAACTTGCAGTGTAGAAAAACTGTTACACCCATCAGGGCTGTCATTAAGGGCCGTAACCTGTAACACCTGTTATGGCTAGAGCTCACCTGATGATCAAAGTGGAAAGCGTAAGGTGGCACTGTAAATTTTTGTGAGATGTTACGGGTGAATCTTCATTTGCTACAGCTGCTTCAAAACTTAATGTCAGCCCTGCCCATAAACAAGCATACATTAGAATATTTGTGAAAGCCGCTCAGTTGAAGTATTGGTGTACACTCTTCTGTGATGGGGAACAGGTGATAAATCTGGGGTGCCACAAAGCAAAGACTAAGAATTATTATCAACCTGTAATTCCTGAAGGAACAAGTGAAGCAATTCTTACTTTTGAACGTATGGATTGAATCCTATGGTTGGATCATAAAAAAGTCTCTTCATAAGTACTGTAACATAGCACTTTTTGCTTTCTTAGTATTTTGTTTTTACTAGATAAAATGTAGAATTTTCCTCGAATTTTGCCTCTTCCTGTCACTGAGAGTAAAAGAGTTACTGTAGTACAATGGAAGTGAGATGCTTTGAATGGTAAATGTTTCATGAACCATTCAACCTGAATGCTTCCCAGATAAAAGCTGTTTTTTTTAGTGAGATTAATTCCTCAGGATGGCCTCCCTATATTGGCCATGTGTGCTGATCATTACTCACTGACATTTTAAGGTGGACAGTGTTGAAGGTCACGTTATTTTTGTACCGCAATTTCTTCCAATATATAATTGTCAGTTACAAGGCCACAACCCAACAGTACCACCGAAGGAAAAAAGTTCCTGTCGCCTAAGTTTTGTTTCCAAAATTTCATGTACATGTAGCAAGTTAAGCGATAAAATATCAATTGAAACAAAAAATTGTACTAGCTTTGAAGGTAAATTTAAATTTTTGCAGTCTCTACTACCTCATAGTGTCATTTACTGTGTCCCTAGTACGTCTGGTTAACGGTCATCAGGCCGCCGACGAAATCCACACCAAGACATCTAATCGCCACCACATAAATATAATAACTGGAATAATTGACAATGTTTTCTTACAATACCTGGGACATTTACTTCTTCCTCAAGCCCAAAATCAATATAAGTTTATCGATTTTAATTGACACCTTGCTTTGAACTTTTTATCTTTAGTTTTATTTTTGTGAATAATTTGCAACTTTTTAATGCCTTAATACGGCTTATTTGGATCGCTCGAGAAGTGTAATTTGTTTAAAATCCAACAGCCTTCTTATGAAAGTTGGTTAATGTTGTCACTTGAACCTTACCGGCAGGATGTTAAATGCAGTGGTAATTGGATGTGGCCTGCAAAATTACCAGGAGAAGGTGCCAGTCTGTACGATGCATGTGCGGCTATGTGCAGTGTCATGTCATCCCTTGGCATTGCCATTGATGGTGGAAAAGACTCGTTGAGCATGGCTGCCAGAGTGGGAGGTGATACCGTTAAAGCACCTGGCTCTCTGGTTATTTCAGTCTATGCGGCATGTCCAGACATCCAAGCCACAGTTACTCCAGATTTGAAGATCCCAGGTGAAGGAGGGAACCTGGTCTGGGTCAAGTTTGGTGTTGATTGTAACTACAGGCTGGGAGGAAGTGCTTTGGCGCAGGTGTACAATCAGCTTGGGAGCGAGGCACCTGATTTAGACGATCCAAAGGTAAGAAACCATGTTTCAATGAAAGCACCCTCTGGAATATTGGAAACAGTTGTCCGCCAGTGACAGATCTTCTTTTACAGCCCGGTACTTCTACTTACACACACAGGTGATCGTGTCTGTATACAGCTATTTCAATGAAATTTTCGAAAAGCCTGCATGACAAGACTAGATATGCTCAGTGTGGGCAATTAAATAAACACACCTAGCAACTGTTCCGTTATAAAATCACTATCGTAAACCTTTGTAACGTTTTATACCATCTTGTGGCACAGACAACCACAAAGTTATGACAGAATTACAAAGGATTTACAGACCTTGTTGGACCTTATTGTCCTGTCGCCTACGCTTGAGGCGCTAGGATCCGTCAACGTTGGTTACTATTTTCAATAATCTGGCCGAGTTTTATCTCCCATGAAAACCTCTTTAGAAGGCCAGAGTATGACATAGCATTGTCAGTGATGGTAGAACATTACATGCATTACACAGCCGACCACAGACTCTTCTACTCGGAGTTTTTGTTGATCACAGTTTTTATTTTATGAATGAAATAAAAGAATTTCATATTATTTTGTTTCAGATCTTCGAGGCTGCTTTCAGGACCACACAGGAACTGATATCACAGGGTCTTATCGTGTCTGGCCATGATATTAGCGACGGAGGCCTGATTACTACTCTTTTGGAGATGGCCTTTGCTGGAAACTGTGGCCTGACAGTTGACATTCCTTGTTCAGAAAACAGTACCTCAACAGTGAGCAAAGTAGCAGATGTGCTTTTTGCCGAGGAGCTTGGAATTGTTCTGGAAATTGAAGAAGAGAACACTGAAAAAGTTTTGAACGCCCTCCGTGAGAAAGGCGTACCTTGCCACCAAATTGGCAGATCAAACGGGATTGCTGATGATGCAGTTGTTTTAGTCCGTGTCGGGGGTGAGCTTGTGCTGGAACAGAAAATGGTGGATTTGCGAGATATTTGGGAGGCAACTAGTTTCCAGTTGGAGAGACTGCAGATAAACCCACAGTGTGCACAAGAAGAAGAAGCTGGGCTTCGTACAAGGCGTGCTCCAGGGTACAAGCTGTCATTTGAACCAGTGCCTTTACCCCCAGTGAACACTGATGTTCGTCCGAAAGTGGCAATTATACGCGAAGAAGGAAGCAATGGAGACCGGGAAATGGTTGCGAGCTTTTACATGGCTGGATTTGAAGCTTGGGACATTACTATGCATGACCTGTGCAGCGGAAAAATGTCGCTGGAAGATTTCCGTGGGGCAGTGTTTGTTGGTGGGTTTAGCTATGCTGATGTGCTTGGATCAGCCAAAGGATGGGCAGCAGTGTGTAACATCAACCCCACCGTTAGGGCTCAGTTAGATGCTTTCTTTGCCAGACAAGACACCTTTAGCTTGGGAGTGTGTAACGGCTGCCAGTTGATGGGCCTTCTAGGCTGGGTTGGTCGGTATACCAAGAGTCACAATGATTCCAGCTCCAAACAGGGTGTTTACTTCACCCACAATACCTCTGAGCGTTTTGAATCGCGGTTTGTGACAGTCAAAATCCAGTCCAGCCCTGCCATGATGTTGAGTGGTATGGAGGGATCCACTCTGGGTATTTGGGTTGCACATGGCGAAGGACGAATCCAGTTCCGTGATGACAGCGTGCTGCAGAATATCAAAACCAACAACCTTGTACCACTTTGTTATGTAGACGATGACGACTGTCCAACCACGCAGTACCCGCTTAATCCCAATGGATCCCCTGAGGGGATAGCTGGTCTCTCCTCTCCTGATGGACGGCATCTTGCAATGATGCCCCACCCAGAGAGATGTACGTTGCTGTGGCAATGGCCATGGATGCCTCGTGATTGGCAGAATACTCTCGAGGCATCTCCATGGCTACGCATGTTCCAGAATGCCTACGCATGGTGCGTGCAAAGTCAAGAAAGTTAAAATGTATTCCCTGAGTGTTTTCTGTAACCTATCGGAGTGCATTTCTGTTTTTGTCGAGAGGAAAGCATTATCAGAAGCACTTAGCTTGAAAAATTACAGTTATTTCTGTACATCTTTCATATGTTATTGAACTTTGATGGAATCATAAATTCTGAACTATGGTAGTTTAGGAGGTTTGGTTTCTTAGTTGTTACAATACGCCTTATGGAAACTTTTAAGAACACCCTTGTTACCGACAGTGAAAGGAAAAGTTTACTTCGCGCAAGCTACTGTAAGTGTTTCCGTTGTAGTGGTTTCGAGCTATTGCAGACTTTTAGGCTTGATTTGCAGTTAAAGCCTTATAAAACAATACTGTTTTTTGTAAAGTTTGTTCATCATTCTATTTAAAGTAATAAATTACTATACCTTGGGTATTCTGAATGCTATATATTGTGAAAACAAAAAGGTGCATGTTTCGTGATGGAGCTCCCTTCATCTTATCCTTCATAAAATTCGCTTTTTTGATAGTACCGGTATTTCATTTCTTTATTGCTTAGTAAACAACAGTNCGAGGGGGGAGAGCCCTGGGGACTAAGGCTCCGCCCGAGGGGGGAGAGCCCTGGGGACTAAGGCTCCGCCCGAGGGGGGAGAGCCCTGGGGACTAAGGCTCCGCCCGAGGGGGGAGAGCCCTGGGGACTAAGGCTCCGCCCGAGGGGGGAGAGCCCTGGGGACTAAGGCTCCGCCCGAGGGGGGAGAGCCCTGGGGACTAAGGCTCCGCCCGAGGGGGGAGAGCCCTGGGGACTAAGGCTCCGCCCGAGGGGGGAGAGCCCTGGGGACTAAGGCTCCGCCCGAGGGGGGAGAGCCCTGGGGACTAAGGCTCCGCCCGAGGGGGGAGAGCCCTGGGGACTAAGGCTCCGCCCGAGGGGGGAGAGCCCTGGGGACTAAGGCTCCGCCCGAGGGGGGAGAGCCCTGGGGACTAAGGCTCCGCCCGAGGGGGGAGAGCCCTGGGGACTAAGGCTCCGCCCGAGGGGGGAGAGCCCTGGGGACTAAGGCTCCGCCCGAGGGGGGAGAGCCCTGGGGACTAAGGCTCCGCCCGAGGGGGGAGAGCCCTGGGGACTAAGGCTCCGCCCGAGGGGGGAGAGCCCTGGGGACTAAGGCTCCGCCCGAGGGGGGAGAGCCCTGGGGACTAAGGCTCCGCCCGAGGGGGGAGAGCCCTGGGGACTAAGGCTCCGCCCGAGGGGGGAGAGCCCTGGGGACTAAGGCTCCGCCCGAGGGGGGAGAGCCCTGGGGACTAAGGCTCCGCCCGAGGGGGGAGAGCCCTGGGGACTAAGGCTCCGCCCGAGGGGGGAGAGCCCTGGGGACTAAGGCTCCGCCCGAGGGGGGAGAGCCCTGGGGACTAAGGCTCCGCCCGAGGGGGGAGAGCCCTGGGGACTAAGGCTCCGCCCGAGGGGGGAGAGCCCTGGGGACTAAGGCTCCGCCCGAGGGGGGAGAGCCCTGGGGACTAAGGCTCCGCCCGAGGGGGGAGAGCCCTGGGGACTAAGGCTCCGCCCGAGGGGGGAGAGCCCTGGGGACTAAGGCTCCGCCCGAGGGGGGAGAGCCCTGGGGACTAAGGCTCCGCCCGAGGGGGGAGAGCCCTGGGGACTAAGGCTCCGCCCGAGGGGGGAGAGCCCTGGGGACTAAGGCTCCGCCCGAGGGGGGAGAGCCCTGGGGACTAAGGCTCCGCCCGAGGGGGGAGAGCCCTGGGGACTAAGGCTCCGCCCGAGGGGGGAGAGCCCTGGGGACTAAGGCTCCGCCCGAGGGGGGAGAGCCCTGGGGACTAAGGCTCCGCCCGAGGGGGGAGAGCCCTGGGGACTAAGGCTCCGCCCGAGGGGGGAGAGCCCTGGGGACTAAGGCTCCGCCCGAGGGGGGAGAGCCCTGGGGACTAAGGCTCCGCCCGAGGGGGGAGAGCCCTGGGGACTAAGGCTCCGCCCGAGGGGGGAGAGCCCTGGGGACTAAGGCTCCGCCCGAGGGGGGAGAGCCCTGGGGACTAAGGCTCCGCCCGAGGGGGGAGAGCCCTGGGGACTAAGGCTCCGCCCGAGGGGGGAGAGCCCTGGGGACTAAGGCTCCGCCCGAGGGGGGAGAGCCCTGGGGACTAAGGCTCCGCCCGAGGGGGGAGAGCCCTGGGGACTAAGGCTCCGCCCGAGGGGGGAGAGCCCTGGGGACTAAGGCTCCGCCCGAGGGGGGAGAGCCCTGGGGACTAAGGCTCCGCCCGAGGGGGGAGAGCCCTGGGGACTAAGGCTCCGCCCGAGGGGGGAGAGCCCTGGGGACTAAGGCTCCGCCCGAGGGGGGAGAGCCCTGGGGACTAAGGCTCCGCCCGAGGGGGGAGAGCCCTGGGGACTAAGGCTCCGCCCGAGGGGGGAGAGCCCTGGGGACTAAGGCTCCGCCCGAGGGGGGAGAGCCCTGGGGACTAAGGCTCCGCCCGAGGGGGGAGAGCCCTGGGGACTAAGGCTCCGCCCGAGGGGGGAGAGCCCTGGGGACTAAGGCTCCGCCCGAGGGGGGAGAGCCCTGGGGACTAAGGCTCCGCCCGAGGGGGGAGAGCCCTGGGGACTAAGGCTCCGCCCGAGGGGGGAGAGCCCTGGGGACTAAGGCTCCGCCCGAGGGGGGAGAGCCCTGGGGACTAAGGCTCCGCCCGAGGGGGGAGAGCCCTGGGGACTAAGGCTCCGCCCGAGGGGGGAGAGCCCTGGGGACTAAGGCTCCGCCCGAGGGGGGAGAGCCCTGGGGACTAAGGCTCCGCCCGAGGGGGGAGAGCCCTGGGGACTAAGGCTCCGCCCGAGGGGGGAGAGCCCTGGGGACTAAGGCTCCGCCCGAGGGGGGAGAGCCCTGGGGACTAAGGCTCCGCCCGAGGGGGGAGAGCCCTGGGGACTAAGGCTCCGCCCGAGGGGGGAGAGCCCTGGGGACTAAGGCTCCGCCCGAGGGGGGAGAGCCCTGGGGACTAAGGCTCCGCCCGAGGGGGGAGAGCCCTGGGGACTAAGGCTCCGCCCGAGGGGGGAGAGCCCTGGGGACTAAGGCTCCGCCCGAGGGGGGAGAGCCCTGGGGACTAAGGCTCCGCCCGAGGGGGGAGAGCCCTGGGGACTAAGGCTCCGCCCGAGGGGGGAGAGCCCTGGGGACTAAGGCTCCGCCCGAGGGGGGAGAGCCCTGGGGACTAAGGCTCCGCCCGAGGGGGGAGAGCCCTGGGGACTAAGGCTCCGCCCGAGGGGGGAGAGCCCTGGGGACTAAGGCTCCGCCCGAGGGGGGAGAGCCCTGGGGACTAAGGCTCCGCCCGAGGGGGGAGAGCCCTGGGGACTAAGGCTCCGCCCGAGGGGGGAGAGCCCTGGGGACTAAGGCTCCGCCCGAGGGGGGAGAGCCCTGGGGACTAAGGCTCCGCCCGAGGGGGGAGAGCCCTGGGGACTAAGGCTCCGCCCGAGGGGGGAGAGCCCTGGGGACTAAGGCTCCGCCCGAGGGGGGAGAGCCCTGGGGACTAAGGCTCCGCCCGAGGGGGGAGAGCCCTGGGGACTAAGGCTCCGCCCGAGGGGGGAGAGCCCTGGGGACTAAGGCTCCGCCCGAGGGGGGAGAGCCCTGGGGACTAAGGCTCCGCCCGAGGGGGGAGAGCCCTGGGGACTAAGGCTCCGCCCGAGGGGGGAGAGCCCTGGGGACTAAGGCTCCGCCCGAGGGGGGAGAGCCCTGGGGACTAAGGCTCCGCCCGAGGGGGGAGAGCCCTGGGGACTAAGGCTCCGCCCGAGGGGGGAGAGCCCTGGGGACTAAGGCTCCGCCCGAGGGGGGAGAGCCCTGGGGACTAAGGCTCCGCCCGAGGGGGGAGAGCCCTGGGGACTAAGGCTCCGCCCGAGGGGGGAGAGCCCTGGGGACTAAGGCTCCGCCCGAGGGGGGAGAGCCCTGGGGACTAAGGCTCCGCCCGAGGGGGGAGAGCCCTGGGGACTAAGGCTCCGCCCGAGGGGGGAGAGCCCTGGGGACTAAGGCTCCGCCCGAGGGGGGAGAGCCCTGGGGACTAAGGCTCCGCCCGAGGGGGGAGAGCCCTGGGGACTAAGGCTCCGCCCGAGGGGGGAGAGCCCTGGGGACTAAGGCTCCGCCCGAGGGGGGAGAGCCCTGGGGACTAAGGCTCCGCCCGAGGGGGGAGAGCCCTGGGGACTAAGGCTCCGCCCGAGGGGGGAGAGCCCTGGGGACTAAGGCTCCGCCCGAGGGGGGAGAGCCCTGGGGACTAAGGCTCCGCCCGAGGGGGGAGAGCCCTGGGGACTAAGGCTCCGCCCGAGGGGGGAGAGCCCTGGGGACTAAGGCTCCGCCCGAGGGGGGAGAGCCCTGGGGACTAAGGCTCCGCCCGAGGGGGGAGAGCCCTGGGGACTAAGGCTCCGCCCGAGGGGGGAGAGCCCTGGGGACTAAGGCTCCGCCCGAGGGGGGAGAGCCCTGGGGACTAAGGCTCCGCCCGAGGGGGGAGAGCCCTGGGGACTAAGGCTCCGCCCGAGGGGGGAGAGCCCTGGGGACTAAGGCTCCGCCCGAGGGGGGAGAGCCCTGGGGACTAAGGCTCCGCCCGAGGGGGGAGAGCCCTGGGGACTAAGGCTCCGCCCGAGGGGGGAGAGCCCTGGGGACTAAGGCTCCGCCCGAGGGGGGAGAGCCCTGGGGACTAAGGCTCCGCCCGAGGGGGGAGAGCCCTGGGGACTAAGGCTCCGCCCGAGGGGGGAGAGCCCTGGGGACTAAGGCTCCGCCCGAGGGGGGAGAGCCCTGGGGACTAAGGCTCCGCCCGAGGGGGGAGAGCCCTGGGGACTAAGGCTCCGCCCGAGGGGGGAGAGCCCTGGGGACTAAGGCTCCGCCCGAGGGGGGAGAGCCCTGGGGACTAAGGCTCCGCCCGAGGGGGGAGAGCCCTGGGGACTAAGGCTCCGCCCGAGGGGGGAGAGCCCTGGGGACTAAGGCTCCGCCCGAGGGGGGAGAGCCCTGGGGACTAAGGCTCCGCCCGAGGGGGGAGAGCCCTGGGGACTAAGGCTCCGCCCGAGGGGGGAGAGCCCTGGGGACTAAGGCTCCGCCCGAGGGGGGAGAGCCCTGGGGACTAAGGCTCCGCCCGAGGGGGGAGAGCCCTGGGGACTAAGGCTCCGCCCGAGGGGGGAGAGCCCTGGGGACTAAGGCTCCGCCCGAGGGGGGAGAGCCCTGGGGACTAAGGCTCCGCCCGAGGGGGGAGAGCCCTGGGGACTAAGGCTCCGCCCGAGGGGGGAGAGCCCTGGGGACTAAGGCTCCGCCCGAGGGGGGAGAGCCCTGGGGACTAAGGCTCCGCCCGAGGGGGGAGAGCCCTGGGGACTAAGGCTCCGCCCGAGGGGGGAGAGCCCTGGGGACTAAGGCTCCGCCCGAGGGGGGAGAGCCCTGG